AAAACATCACACCACCACCTGGCTTTAAAACAAAATAGTTTTGGCTGGGTGAACAGATCGGACCATTATCCAGATACTCGAATTGTTTTCACTTTACAGAAAAAGTTTTAAATATGTATCAGTCATTAACTAAGATATGTGAATTTACATAGAATGCGTTATCGAAATAAAGCTCATTGTAATATTTAAAAAAAGCCGTCGTTACCCAGATACTATGGCATTGTATAAAGGCGTTGCAATATACATCGTGAAAGAAAGCGGACGTTCAAAAGAGTTTATGGAAAGTACCTTGCAATAAAGCTCATTGTAATACCAAGAGCCGTGTTACCCAGATATTATGTTTTGCATAAATAGGCGTTACCACAAAGTACTTGAATATCGTGAAAGAGAACAAATCCCCAACAGACCAGCAAGGTTTATGGAAAGTACCTTGCAATAAAGCTCATTATAATACCAAGAGCCGTGTTACCCAAATATTACGTTTTGCATATATAGGCGTTACAACAAAGTACTTAAATATTGTGAAAGAGAACAGATCCCCAACAGACCAGCAAGGTTTATGGAAAGTACCTTGCAATAAAGCTCATTGTAATACCAAGAGCCGTGTTACCCAGATATTATGTTTTGCATAAATAGGCGTTACAACAAAGTACTTAAAAATCGTGAAAGAGAACAGATCCCCAACAGACCATCAATACATTTACCCCTCTATCTGAATTTACATAGATTTGCGTTATAAAATAATGAAATAGTCAATATACTGTTTAAGCATGTTTTGAGGGAAATGTTTCTTCTCACTTCACGCATGCATGCTTAGGGTTGTAATACAAATCCTGCTACAATTCTTTTTGTTTTCTTTTTTTTAAATACCAAGTTATATAATTTGCATATCATGCGTCACAAAATGATAAACAAATGATGAAACACTACTGCCAATTCGAAATAGCACCAGGGAATGTATCCGGACCGGTCCCCAAGCATTTTAGCCCCCTTAATAAACAACACCACCTGGCACCATTGAAATATTTTGGAAACCTCACTCCTACACATACTTAACCCCTTTATTCCACAAGTGGCAAAGCTTAGAAAAGGGAACTGAAACCAACAGCCCTTGGCGCGACAATCTTATTAAAATATTATTATTGCTTTGGTTAGAACAATTAATGAACAACCTCTGGCAAAAAAAACAACAAAAAAAATTGCCTGAAAAATCCCCCTTTTTTTTCAATGTTGTCACTTCATCTCCGATATTCAACATTTAAGGCATTATGGAGACGAAGTTGCACACAAATCAAACCTCGCCTTCCACATACCCAACAACGATGAGAAACCCGAGGCTTCGCTTTATATTTCATATACACTGAAGAAAGAAAAAAAAAAAAATGTGTGTGATATTAACTCTTGGTAAACGTACGATAATCTTCTCAAGTTTTGTATCATTTTTTTTTAAACTAAAGAAACGAACAGAATATGTATATATGTATATACATCCTTTTCTTCCTCTTTTTGAACAATAATTTAAAAAAAAAAAAAAAAAAAAAAAAAAAAACACACACACCATTGTCATATACGTGACAGGCTAGTTTAGCCCAAAAATTTCACATTGGCTAATGTGTAGTAAACATAAACAATACTTTATAACTTATAACTGGTACTTTCCTTTTCTTCCTTCCCCCTTCATTTAATTATTTCCTCGCTTATTCCTTCTCTTTCCCTCCCTTCTCCTCTCCTTTCCCCCTCTTCCTTCTTTTCCCCTTTCTCCCTCTTATCATTTCTCTTCTATTTTTCCTTTCCAAACTTCCACATTAAACCTGTCGTTTTCAATAGTATCCCCAAGTTGAAAGCACGTGAAATCTCCTCCATGCAGCCTTCATTAATGGGGAAGTAGATGGGGATGAACATAAATTCATCTCTTCCATACCAATAGATCGCTGACAGAGCAATAATAAACAAGCCCTGCCAAACAAACCATCAGCCTGAAGAATCTTTTATTTTAAAAAAGAAACTCAAAGTTGTCACTTCATCTCCGATATTCAACATGTAAGGCATTATGGAGACGAAGTTGAACAAAAATCAAACCTCGCCTTCCACATACCCAACAACGATGAGAAACCCGGGGCTTCACTTTATATTTAATATACACTACGATTATATACCATAAATTATCAGGAAAAACAAAAAATGTGTGTGATATTAACTCTTGATAAAAGTACGATAATCTTCTCAATTTTTGTATCATTTCTTTAAAACTAAACAAACAAAATATGTAGGCCTATATATTTATATACATTAAACAAAGATCCCTCTCATAATATACCTGACAGGCTAGTTTGACCCATACATTTCACATTGGCCAATGTATAGTTCACAATACTTTATAGCTTGTACTTTTCTTTTCCTCGTTCCCCATTTTATCTAATTATTTTTCCTTTCTTTTCCCCTCCCTCCTTTCCCTTCTCCTTTCCTCCTCTTCTCTCCTATCTCTTTCCTCTCTCTTTCATCTTCTTCTATTTTTCCTTTCCAAACTTCCACATTAAACCTGTCGTTTTCAATAGTATCCCCAAGTTGAAAGCACGTGAAATCTCCTCCATGCAGCCTTCATTAATGGGGAGGTAGATGGGGATAAAAATAAATTCATCTCTTCCATACCAATAGATCGCTGACAGAGCAATAAGCACGCACACACACACACACACACACGCATAACACACATCCTACGCCCACACATACACGCATACACACATACACGCCCACGCCCACACATACACCCACACTCTAGTAAACACATACCCACATCGATTTCTTTTTTTTAAAAGAAAAAACAACGAAAACAAATACATGCTTTCCTACAGCACTTTACGCCCCCCCCCCCCCCCCCTCTCTCTCTCTCTCTCTCTATTCCATTCATCAGCATCAACAACTCCGCAATTCAAACGTAGGGACAAGAATTCCAAGAAAGAAAAGAAATTTTCTGCAGGAGTACTCGTGGTTAGAAAAAGTTCGGGTACACACAATATTTTAATTCAAGCACATTCTTGAAACCAAAACTAGGGATAATGGTTTTTGTGCATCAAGTTTTCCGTTAGAATTGCACAACATAATTCACAATCAACTCTTTTTTACCACAGGACAATTAAACATTATGACTTATATTCTGATTGATATTTTCATTATGCACTACCGTCAGATGTCGGAAGGTTAAAGATCGAAACCGAACTAACAAGCCAATCAGCAAATTATCCAGGAAAATACACGTATTGTTACTGCAAGTAAATACAGCCTAGGAACATTCCTAAGATAGACTCTTGTGATCATTACGAGAAAATAATCAATCCGATCGTTTATAAGGATTCCTTGACAATACCTTTCTCCAAACTGCGATGAAGAAGAGAAGATGTGGGACTATAGTTGGTGAACTCGAACATGATTGATTTACATTCCAATCCTCACACCTGGATAATGTCTATTGGCCAATGACGTAAATCCCTTTTATTCGGAACGAAAGGGATTCTGGTTCCAATCTTCAAACCGCCTCCCATCCCTATCCCTAGAGATAAGTCTAGTCACACCTGGACGTGCCGCTAAGAACCAATACCGATCAAAGAATGATTGTTACGGGGAGGAGATTTGTGGTATAAAGCCGACGTTACGCGGTGGAAGTTTTTACTTCTTGCCGCACCATTCCAATTTATCGTCAAACAATAGGACGGCGGTCACTTCAAAGGGGTATCGGTGTCCAAATTTATTTCTTCTTTTCATCGAAATTGAAAGGGAGTGCAAACGATCCCGGCTTTAAACTCCCTAATTCTGGTCTTGTTTTTACGACGGACCCGTTTCTTGGATGGGGACAATGCCTTAATCCCAGCAAGGTAAAAAATATCCAAGATGCTTCCACATGCTCTGTTTTTTCTTCATCTTTTGTCTCGTGTCACGATGTGTTTTGAAGAGCAATTCTTAATTTGGACCTAAATAACAAGGGTCTCAATTGTCCTAGTGTTGTTTGTAGTCCAGGGGTGTTTGTGAGGAGTGGTACTACAAAGGGGGATCAAGCGGGACCCTTTCCATTTCCACCCATGCGAGAAGACACTGTTTAAAGATCGTAAAAGGATCGGGAAAGTGCTCCCAAATTGATGATGCTCCTGGATGTCATTTATTCTCAGATTGTAAACAATAACTTTGATTTGAATGAAATCTAAATTTCGCTCGCCTGAAAGCTTTTAGAAGACAACGATAAACTTCTTGTCCAACCTAGAAGCAAAGAGTCAGAAACTATTGGTTTTAAGCATCATCACTCCACGAAAAGCAACTTCATAACATATCTAGATCATGTTTAAAAAAAAATTCATTATGTAATTAGGATTATAAGATATAAAATGATAGGCTACTTCAAAGAAAACCGAACCAAAATCTAAACTTCACAACTGTTTACGAGAAGAAAAAGGACAATTATTGTAGCACGAACGGCGTTGCCAGTTCGAAATTCCTTTTTAAAACTAAGCAAAGGACCAGACAAACATTCGTTTCCATAAAAACTCCATTAATATAGTCCATAGACTGTACATCATGAAAAAAGAGCGATTGGTGACTTAAACAAGATCCTCCAAAGTCATCAATACAAAATACTGGTACTTTTACCGATATGGATGAATAACTCCATACGAGAAACATTAGACGAAACATGTATAATAAGCTTATATAACTACGTTCAACTACTCAAACAGATGGACAACTTCTCCAGAATATCTCGATAATGGACGTTCGTGAACACAACATCTACTGTAGATGTGTATCCACATTCAATTCATATTTATTTCATTTTCAACATTATTAAGACGTTTTCAAAATTTATGGAAAATTGTGCATTATACCTTTTTAAGCTTAGGTATATAGATGGCATGAATTTGAACAATGAAATAGGTAGAAAATAAACATGAAAGTAGTTAAAAAAAACTACCGAATGATAAAGGGTGCGAAAATGCGCGTGCCTGCGTGTGTGTGTGTGTGTGTGTGTGTGCGCACTTGTAATGACCGTCAATCGGGGAGGTTCATATGAATACACAACTTCCAACTGTGGAGACACAGCAAACCGTGGAGCTCCACAGTTGCAGAATCATTAAAACGAGATTTAAATCAGCTTTGGGACATCTCAGTAGTACCCCATCAACGTTCGGCTGCGATTTAACTCCATCCCCGGTTTCCCACTTTGGAGTCATAGCTTGCAGCCTGAATATGTGTATTATTTTCCGATCTCAAGAATAATATCAAGTGAAGAGCGCCAGCATGAGGATACACACTGCACAGTCTGTATCTTATTAGATGCAGCGCATGCGCAGTGCTGGTGCAGTGCACCTTGCGACGTGCCTGTTAACGTATATGGACATGTCATGGCGGGATTAGTACAGCCACAACTGGCAAAAGTAAGTAGAACTAGTCTAGATCTAGAAAGTTTACTTTCATTTTTAATCCAGTCTAGGCCCATTAATATTCTATCAACTTTTTAAAGAATTCCTTAGGCCTATAGATCTAGTTCTATTCATGATATTGGGTACAAAAAACTCATACATAGATCTAGATCTAATCTAGATCTAGATCTAAGTAAGATGTAGATCTAGGCCTAACGTTAGGCCTAGCCCTAGACTAGTACTACTAGTCTAGGCTACTAGTAGTAGTAGATCTAGGTCTAGTATAAGTTCTTCTTAGGCCTAACTTTAGAGTTAAACTAAAGGAATATCTAGTAACGTTAGATTCGAAGGTCTATTTCACATCAGCCAGATTTAGCCTAAGTAAATGTGTGCATGGGAAATGTGGAGCCATACTACATGTAGGTCTAGGCCTATCTGTATATAACTCACATGGGCCAGATGTGTATAAATGTGTGCATGGGAAATGTGGAGCCATAATAATCTGGGTCAGATGTGTATAAATGTGTGCACGGGAAATGTGGAGCCATAACTAGATATAGATCTACATGGGCAATATGTGTTTAAATGTGTGCATGGGAAATGTGGAGCCATAGATATATATATATTACACATGGGCCAGATGTGTATAAATGTGTGCATGGGAAATGTGGAGCCATATATATATATATATATATATATATTACACATGGGCCAGATGTGTATAATTGTGTGCATGGGAAATGTGGTCCCATGTTTATCTCAACTATTTAAGGTGGATTGAAGATTTATAAATGTGTGCATGGGAACTGTGGAGCTATTATACATGGGCCAGATTTGTATAAATGTGTGCGTTGGAAATGTGGAGCCATATCTATATATTTTATTCATAGGCCAGATGTGTATAAATGTGTGCATGGGAAATGTGGAGCCATATATATATATATATATAATGGGCCAGACGTGTATAAATGTGTGCATGGGAAATGTGGAGCCACATCTCTATATATATATATATATATATATATTACACATGACCCAGATATGTATAAATGTGTGCATGGAAAATGTGGAGCCATGTTTAACTGAACTATTTAAGGTGGATTGAAGATTTATAAATGTGTGCATGGGAACTGTGGAGCCATTATACATGGGCCAGATTTGTATAAATGTGTGCATTGGAAATGTGGAGCCATATCTATATATTTTATACATAGGCCAGATGTGTATAAATGTGTGCATGGGAAATGTGGAGCCATATATATATTGATCTACATGGGCAATATGTGTTTAAATGTGTGCATGGGAAATGTGGAGCCATATATATATATATATTACACATGGGCCAGATGTGTATAAATGTGTGCATGGGAAATGTGGAGCCATATATATATATATATATATACACATGGGCCAGATGTGTATAAAGGTGTGCATGGGAAATGTGGAGCCATATATATATATATATATAATGGGCCAGACGTGTATAAATGTGTGCATGGGAAATGTGGAGCCATATCTATATATATATATATATTACACATGACCCAGATATGTATAAATGTGTGCATGGAAAATGTGGAGCCATGTTTAACTGAACTATTTAAGGTGGATTGAAGACTTATAAATATGTGCATGGGAACTGTGGAGCCATTATACATGGGCCAGATTTGTATAACTGTGTGCATGGGAAATGTGGAGCCATATATATATATATATATATAATGGGCCAGACGTGTATAAATGTGTGCATGGGAAATGTGGAGCCATATCTATATATATATTACACATGACCCAGATATGTATAAATGTGTGCATGGGAAATGTGGAGCCATATGTATATTACACATGGGCCAGATGTGTATAAATGTGTGCATGGGAAATGTGGAGCCATATATATATATTACACATGGGCCAGATGTGTATAAATGTGTGCATGGGAAATGTGGAGCCATATATATATTACACATGACCGAGATATGTATAAATTTATGCATGGGAAATGTGGAGCCACATATATATATTACACATGGGCCAGATGTGTATAAATGTGTGCATGGGAAATGTGGAGCCATATGTATATTACACATGGGCCAGATGTGTATAAATGTGTGCATGGGAAATGTGGAGCCATATATATATATTACACATGGGCCAGATGTGTATAAATGTGTGCATGGGAAATGTGGAGCCATATATATATATATATATTATACATGGGCCAGATTTGTATAAATGTGTGCATGGGAAATGTGGAGCCATATCTATATATATTATACATGGGCTAGATGTGTATAAATGTGTGCATGGAAAATGTGGAGCCATATATATATATTACAAATGGGCCAGATGTGTATAAATGTGTGCATGGGAAATGTGGAACCATATATATATATATTACACATGGGCCAGATGCGTATAAATGTGTGCATGGGAAATGTGGAGCCATATATATATATTACACATGGACCAGATGTATAAATGTGTGCATGGGAAATGTGGAGCCATATATATATTACACATGGGCCAGATTTGTATAAATGTGTGCATGGGAAATGTGGAGCCATATATATATTACACATGGGCCAGATGTGTATAAATGTGTGCATGGGAAATGTGGAGCCATATATATATATATATTACACATAGGCCAGATGTGTATAAATGTGTGCATGGGAAATGTGGAGCCATATATATATATATTTATTATACATGGGCCAGATTTGTATAAATGTGTGCATGGGAAATGTGGAGCCATATCTATATATATTATACATGGGCCTGATGTGTATAAATGTGTGCATGGAAAATGTGGAGCCATATATATATATTACAAATGGGCCAGATGTGTATAAATGTGTGCATGGGAAATGTGGAGCCATATCTATATATATATTACACATGACCCAGATATGTATAAATTTATGCATGGGAAATGTGGAGCCATATATATATATATATATTACACATGGGCCAGATGTCTATACATTTGTGCATGGGAAATGTGGAGCCATTTATATATTACATATGGGCCAGATGTGTATAAATGGGTGCATGGGAAATGTGGAGCCATGTTTATCTCAACTATTTAAGGTGGATTGAAGATGTATAAATGTGTGCATGGGAAATGTGGAGCCATATCTATATATATTACACATCAGCCAGATATGTATAAATGTGTGCATGGGAAATGTGGAGCCACATTTATTATTGCATATGGGCTAGATATGTATAAATGTGTGCATAGGAAATGTGGAGCAATCTATATCTATTGCAAATGAGTCAAATATGATAAGATGTGTGCATGGGAAATGTGGAGCCATGTATTTACATGACCCCCTTGATGTACATCATAATGGATGTGTTTCATAATACCTCATGATTTTAACAAATAATATAATAAAATTGAGCATGGATATGAGTAGCAATATTTTGGCAAATTCCAGTATGATTAGGGGGAGGATGTGGGGGGGGGGGGGTAATATTTAGATATTTTCTTCCAGCTTGCTCACAGCTGTGTTTCTGCATAATATTATTAATATTTACTTGACCTGTTTCAGAATCGGATTCTCAGAAGTCAAACCAGACAGACAGTTCCAGATATTTTTAGTGAAGTTGATCCTGAAGGATTTACAGTGAAACAGCTGCCTGACAAAGGTGAGTGAGGTTACATACATGTACATGTAGATTGTATTAATAGTGAAAATTCACTGTAGCATAGATATCTAACATTAATATGCTCAATAAAATATTGATTCAGAGCTAGACTATGCAAGGAACGCCTGGTATGGTTCTTTGATCACACCTCATCGCCTATTGTCTGAAAATCACCAGCTCTTTTCAGAGTAACTTTGATACCCTTCGCAGTTAAACAGGTCAACTTCTTTAGTAAAATCTATACCCTTTCTGTATATTTCATTAATTTCATGCAGTAGAATATTTGATATGCTTTCCCTCATATTTTTCTGTTTTTATAATCTTAATTCAACACTTAATTGCGTGAAGCAGTCTTCAATGGCAAAGTGTTGAAAATAGAATCAATTACCACTACTGCATTTTCGTCTACAAAATACTCAATAATCTAGCCCCTTATTTAGAATCTTTTGGTCATAATCGTCCAGTTTACTTTGTTACTTGTCATTCTACCTTAAATCCCTTATTTATCCTGAAACCAAAGACTGAATTTAAAAAACGTTCTTTTTCTTTCACTGCTCCAAGCATCTGTAACAATCTACCGACTCATATTCGCACGGAAACTTCACTCCAAATGTTAAAAAACCAAATTAAGTCACTCCCTCTATCACTTTAATGCATGCACTGGTACCTAATGTTATATCATGACTTTTACCATAATTTAGTTTTGTTTGTTTGTCTGTTTGCAGTTGTGTAGTCTATTTTTACGGCATGTGTAGTTTTTAAAATATTTTTTTGGTCATTTTTCTTTGTATCAATAATATCTTAAATGTTTAATATTTAAGGCCTTTTGTTCATTTTGATCTAGTTTTTATTTTTTTAAAGCTTTTTTTTTAATGTTTTCTACAATGTATTCTATTTTTTTGTAAATATTTGTATGTACAGGGCTCTTTTGTAAAGCAGGAGGTATTAAACTTGATTTGGTTAAGTGTTTAAAGGTTAGACCTTGAAATGAATTTTAATGCCTCCTCATGGGGTTGAATGTCAAAAAAAATTAGAAAATCTAGAGAAAACGTCATGTTCATCATGACATGCATGACACTGTAATTTAATATCTGCAGCATACTAATATTAAATACAATGTGTTGCTTACAAGTCTGCTTGATGGCAATGTGACCAAAAAGACACACAAATGTTATTTAAAACTCAACCAATTTTGAAAATAAGTGCCTTCTTACAAGTACGAGTCTGAGTTACTTATCACACCTGAGCATTATCTTAAATGACAGACAAATATACTTGTAACATCATATTCACAATGTTTAAACTCGCATGATTGATCTCATGAAGATTATGTATTTCTTCAATCACAGGTAGAGCAGTCTTTACCACCAAAACGTTTGAAGAGGGAGAATTCCTTTTGTGGTACAGAGGAGATCTGGTAACCAGAGATGTGGGGGAAAGAAGAGATGCAGACTGTGAAACTTGCTTCAGATACTTTTTCACATGGAAAGGGACGAAATGGTGGTAAGTCTACATACTATGACGACTTGATTTATTGAAAAGTATATTTTGTAATGATAGGTGTTGAAAACAAACCTAAGGCTATATGCTTATGACGTAGTCGTAAACATGTGGGTTGACAGGGCAACATATTTTCTACCAGTGGTTTTTGTTTTTTCCCTAAAGAAAGATCGAAAGCTAGTCATATCTGTCAAATTCTATTCCGTGCTTTTGAATAAACCCGTGGACTGACCACATACAGTACACATACATTTTTCTGCAGAAAGTATCAATACGGCAAGGACATCATAGAACAAATATGCAACTTATATTCTTCTCTATCTATTCAAACCTGTTTTAGCTATCATACAAAAAACACACAATCTTACCAATGACAATTATTCAACCTTGTCAGTCCAACAGATCATATTCCATTTTGGAGAGCATAAAATGAGAATATAAAACAATATTTGGTACAAATATTGGATATAAAAGAAAGGTGCATTACACTGAAAAGTCCATGTTTTTTTTTTGTACACTCCACATTTCATCTTACAGATGAAACAGATTCGGAAATTTCTATGCAACTTGCACCACCTCCCTCTCCCTCCAGTGAAGTTTTAAATGATGAAACAGATTCGGAAATTTCTACGCAGCTTGCACCACCTCCCTCTCCCTCCAGTGAAGTTTTAAATGATGCTGGTTCATCAGTTCCCTGCAATATGTCATCGGAAGACTCTTTTTCTACTCCCCCTTTCTTCTACACCTCATCTTCACTTCAGTCTGATATTACTTCATCTGTTCATTCATTACTTCCCCTAACACCTCCCCGCACCCCCCAATCAACCCCTCACACAACCCCTCCCTCAACCCCTCTCCTAACCCCTCTCCCAACCCCTCTCCCAACCCCTCCCTCAACCCCTCTCCTAACCCCTCGCTCATCAACTCCTCATTCAACTTCTTCATCTGCTTTGTCTCCTCCTCTCCCTTCCCATCCTCCTAATTCATTTCTTTCAATGTCTGTTGTCCAGCGTCATCCTCGCATTGTAGCTGGATTTCTCATTTCGCTACTCCTGCTTGTTGTCTTTATACATCTTCTGCTTTTAATTTCTGTTATCCTTCTTTGTTAAATGTTCATCATTCATTTTGTAATTTCCCAAATTTCCTCTTCTTTATAATCTGGGAAGATGATCTGAGATGGGCCAACATATGTCAAATGGTAAGATTTATTGAAAAATCATTTGAAAACTTGAGAACAAAAATCATACAGTTGGTAAACATAATCTTCATTGAGGATGTAGTTTTCAATGCACAATTCAAACCCTGCATTGGATTTCCTGCTTTCTTTGCTCATTCTAAAATAATATAACACTGCATACATGTTTGGTCCGTTTGATATGAATTCAGGTTTGTGCTAGTAGCCACTTTTTATATTGTATTCTTTATTTGCTTTTTGGAGCTACGTTCCACTTTTAAAGATTAGATAGATTATTTTCTTCTTTCCCCCCTCATTCTACACGTCTGTTCTTGTTTATCATAATGCTTTTTTTCCTTTTTCCCATGCTATTTTTTAATCTTTCCTCATCTCTCCCTCCCTTCTTCTCCTTGGACTCATCTTTCTTCTCCGCATGTTCCTTCTCCCCTGCCGAAGCCTTCTTCCATCTCTCCCACCCGGTGTAAACATCTTGTGGATAGATATGTCCGAAATTGTACATTTTCCCTTTAGTCTGTTGCCTCTCCTTGCCCTTTCCCCAATTTGGTCGCTTCTCTCTCTTTTTTGTTATTTTTGTTATACCATGTAATGTCTTTGGCTCTCGTATTTCAGAGGGTCTTGAGAGGATATATTTTGTTCGCAATGCTGTTGCCCGTGGCTTGTAGGGCGTGTCGTTATTCGACCTTTGTGTTTTTTTTTTTGTTTTTTTTTTATTTGTATTTATATTGAAAAAATCTTCCACGGTTTGTTCGTCGTCTTTTTTCGCCTCGGTACTCTTGTCTGATGCACGGTGACATTTTGTAGCATTACAATTTTAAGGCAAATGAAAAGTAAACATATGCATGTTTAATGTTCATGATATTGGTTATGATTTCCAATGCCTACATGTAATGTTACCTATTTGTTTCCTATGTTACTTGTATTTCAAATTTCCTCCTAAAATTAACCATGCGTTAACAAAAATCATGACTGTAACGATTCTTCTTTAAGTGATACCCTACTTGAAAAGTAACAGTTGATCAAATAATATCTGACAACAGAGAAAACCTAAAGTGAAATCACAAATTGTAACCCACATATACTTGTATGTTTCAGTGATTCATTGTAATTTTAAACATTGATGAATCTAATGTTTTCATTTTTTTTCAATTTCATTTCCAGTAGGGATGCATCAGTCGAACCAACTAAACAACAACTGGGACGACTCGTCAACCATGGTTGGAGGGGTGAAGTCAACAGCAGAATGAAGATTAGAGAGAACCCTCACAATGAACCAGAACTGGTTCTCTTCTCATTGAAGAAAATCAAAGAAGGTGAAGAAGTGTTATATGATTATGGGGTGGGAGATAATTTTGTATTCCCAAGTCCTACTCAATTACACAGTGGAGTCCAAGATGAAAAACCTGAAATTCTGCAAAATTCTGCAAACCTCCCACCAGACCCAGAAAAAGTTTGTTCACCATTCTCCGAGCCTGCCACACAAGAACTACTGGAACCAGATGGAAACTTTTCACAGTCCAATGTTCGAGCTGATGATGATGAAACATCTGAAGATCGATGCAGAAACCCCCCTAATAACGAAACAAATTGGGAACCATCCCCTAAGCCTGCCACACAAGCTTTAATGGAATCAGATGGTAAGATTTCACAGTTCAGTGTTTCAGCTGATAATGATGACACATGTGATGATCCATGCCGGAACCCCTCTAATAACCAAGAACATTGGGAACCATCCCCTGAGCCTGCCACACAAGCGTTAATGGAATCAGATGGAAAGCTCTCCCAGTTTGATGTTCCAGTTGATAATGATGACACATGTGATGATCCATGCATAAACCCCCCTAATAACCAAGTGCATTGGGAATCATTTACTGAGCTTGCCACACAACCTTTAATAGAACCAGATGGAAACCTTCCACTCTCCAATGTTCTAACTGATGATGCTGAAACATCTGATGATCTATGCAGAAACCCCCCTAATAACGAAACAAATTGGGAACCATCCCCTGAGCCTGCCACACAAGCTTTAATGGAATCAGATGGAAAGATTTCACAGTTTAATGTTTCAGCTGATAATGATGACACATGTGATGATCCATGCATAAACCCCCCTAATAACCAAGTGCATTGGGAACCATTTACTGAGCTTGCCACACAACCTTTAATGGAACCAGATGGAAACCTTTCACTGTCCAATTTTCTTGCTGATAATGATGACACATCTGATGATCTATGCAGAAACCCCCCTAATAACCGAGAGCACTGGGAACCATTCCCTGAGCCTGCCACACAAGCATTGATGGTACCAGATGGAACCCTTTCACAAAATATTTTTTCAAGTGATAATGAGGACACATTATCTGACCATAATGATGATAGTGATGATGATCCAGACTATGTCTGTGATTCTCAAGGAGATTCTGACTCTTCAGGGAAGACTTCATTAAATAATTCTCAAGCATCATTGCCTAAGGCTAAATGTACATCAATAAATGGCATCACTCGATCACTGAAATCTCTGTCATCAGATCAGTCATTGGAGGCATCATCAAGATATGGAGGCATTGATGCTGACCATGAGGGGATAACTGTGATGAAGACCAACAATCAAGGAGGGCGAAAATATGACAAGGTAGCTTATTGCATGATGTGTGAGAAGCCCCACAAAAAACTTCCTGATCACCTGCGGTCACAACATTCCAATGAAATAAAGGTGGCTCAATACATGGCAGCAACGAATCGAAAAGAAAAGGATAAGCTATTGACATTGATAAGAAATAAAGGAAATCACATGCACAACTACAGGGTCTTCGAAAAGGGTCATGGAGAGCTTGTGGTCGTATATAGACCTTCTTGTGAAGCAAAGCCCCGTGATTATCAGCCTTGCAAAGATTGTTTGGGATGGTTTGCGAAAGCCGAATTGTGGAAACACCGCTGCATTTTGAAGCAAGAAGAGCCGGCTAAGGAGCAAAAGAAAAAACGAAGAAGACTATTAGCACAAGGTCGACTCTTGCTTCCACCAGTGCCCTGCACATCAAGAGATTCTATAACACACAAAGTACTGAGTGGTCTCAGCGATGATGAAATCAAGGCCTGCATTCTAAATGATCAGTTGATTCTAGAATTGGCCAAGGTGTACTCTAAGAAATTGGGCCATGACGAAGAACAGCACAACCACATCAGATGCAAGTTACGAGAACTAGGAAGACTTGTACTTCAGTTCAGACGTTGCAGCTGCAATGGCAAGGCAAGTCTGACTTCCCTGATATCACCAAATGGTTTTATGACTGTCTTGAGTGCTGTCAAGAAAGTGGCAGGCTTTGATGAGGAGAACCACTTGTTCAATACACCAAGTTTAGCACTTAAGCTGGGACATACCTTAAGAAAGGCTGCCTTTGTGCTCCTGAGTAAGGCTTTGATGGACAGAGATGGGGATGACATGCAGAAACTTGTAGAAAAGTTCATCAAGCTGCTGGACACTTGTTGGGGATCTGAAATCTCTACTCATGCTCTACGAACTTTGTACCAGAGGAAACGAAACCAGCCCAAACTCCTACCCCTAACGAGTGATGTTGTGGCTTTGTCAAGACACCTAGAGGTACAGGCTGAACTTTGTGTAGACAAACTGTCATCTGGGACCGCAATCGAAAACCATAGCACATGGAGAGAACTCAACAAGACCATGCTGGCTCATCTCATTGTGTTTAATAGGAGGAGACAAGGGGAAATCAGCAAGATGACTCTTGATGACTACAATAAAATCAAGAAAGGTGAATCTCATATGGTGGAAGGACAACTAGAGATGCTGAAAGACTGGGAAAAAAATCTTGTAAAGTTTCTCTGGAGAGTTGAGGTAGTAGGAAAACGTGGCAGGACAGTGCCGATCCTTGTGACAGACTCCATGAAATCATGTGTAGACACCCTTGTATCCCACAGGGAGGAAGCAGGTGTAAACCCAAGCAACAAATACCTGTTCGCTGTAGCCAATAGTGACACTACATCTCATGTTCGAGGGTCAGATGCTCTCCGTGAGCTGTCAGAAGCATGTGGAGCACAAAATCCTTCAACACTTCGATCCACAAAATTACGGAAGCATGTAGCTACCATGTCACAACTAATGAGCTTGAGGGACCATGAGATGGACGCCTTAGCAAACTTCATGGGCCACGATATTAGGATACATAGGGAGTATTATAGACTGCCAGATGCTGCTATGCAGGTGGCCAAAATATCAAAGATCCTGTTCGCCATGGAGGGAAAAGCTGGGAACCCGGTCCAGCTGATTGGCACTGCAAAAAGTCTGGATGAGCTTCAAATCAAGTTAGATGAAGGTAAATTTGTGATGAGGGTAGAATTATACAGTGGGGATCTCAATTCAAACCCTAATGAGATGAGAAACATCATGGCGAGGGATGAGTGGGATGAATAACAAACCATGTAGCATGTACTAATTTTAAGAATCAAGTATTTCTGATTTCCACTCAACTTGACAATTATCAAATACAAAATATGTAAATTGATAAACATGCTGCAACATTATTGAATTAATGAAAAGTGTTGTTTTCAAATGAACCATGCAGTTAAATATTCCTCACTATATTGTGCACTTGTTTGTTTCAATTTATTTAGATTAGGGGTAATTAAGGCATTTGTTTGACTCGATCCACACATGTGGCATATACCTGGTGCCAATTCTACCATGTTGTATTTAGAAATAATTGATTATATTCTTTTGTTTTAAATTACAAGTATGTTTTCTTTGCAGTTGACCCAGATTTTCTTTTTGGTGAATATTATTGATTATTATTTTATGTACAGAGATCGACACTGGAGAACAGGGACCTGAATCATGTGATGACAATTGTGACAGCGATGTTGATTCTGGTGATCATGATGTCGAACGTCAGCTACCTGGATGCTCCCAAAAAGGTATGACTTTAAGTCCAATGAGAGCATCTAAAAAAATTCTTTTTGCAAACCTAAATGTTAATTTTGCCTATTGTACCGCACTCTCAATCATCCTCAAAAGCCAAAGTGAAACCAAACTTTTTCCTGTTGAAATCACCACGTACCAATATTTGTGCATTTTGAATTGTTAAAAATTATAGCACAATTATAATTGTAATGTAGCCTCACAAAAAGCCTGTTGCCAATGACGGAGAAAATCTATTAGTGAATTTAATTGGTCTCTATATCTAAACTTCTCTAAACTAAAAAAAAATTGTGTACATACAATAATATAGACTCAGAAAGTATTATGTGATCGTGGCCCTTTTGTTCTAGACTGGGAGTCAGGGGTTGTCAAGGTAATACAAAATGTACTTTTTTTCATGCACACAGCAATCACTACAATATACTAGGAAATGGATGAAAATGGAGGCAGCCAGGAGCCCCTCCCAAATAAACCCAAAACTGAGCTAGATTAGCAAAATAAATGACCAATAGAAACCGGGTAGAATATGTGAAACATAACCCCATCTGTCATGACACTGTCAGATAATTTAAAGACTTGTTTGTGCCCGACTCCCCTAAACGGTAGATGCCCATAATTTCACGAAATATGAGCTTTACAAAATTATATGATGGCTTTCTTCCCGCAAAAAAAAATCGTTTAAGTGTATTCCTCCCAGGATCACACTCTATTCTGCATCACTGCAAAAGAGGATTTAAATATTCTTCCTCTCCTTCCATCCTCATAACAGTAATGCACTCTTCAAGTTCATGGGTCAGAGACTCAGAGAAACAGTATGTGATACTGCATTTATTATTCTGCATAGTATAATTGCAACATTTTTTTTTGTTATTGTCTTTCATTAGGTACCAAAAGGCAAAGGCAAACGCAACATGTACTGGAAGAGGTTGATGAACAGCCAATAAGGAAGAAACGAAAGACAGCATGGAGCGATGCGGAAAAGTCGGCTGTCCAGAGACGTTTAGGAGCCTTTATGACTGTTCATTCTAAGCTACCTGGCAAGAGAGCGATAGACGAATGCTTGAAAGCTGAAGCTGTGCTGAAACACAGAACGTGGGTCAACATCAAAGACTACGTAAGAAACTCGAAGGTTACCAAAAGCAGAAAAACACAGCCTTGGTAAAAACATTCCCTTTAATATCAAATCACCATTTTTATATTGAATACACACATGCTTTTGTTTTGAGTCACCAAACTGCTGAAAATGCTCATAAATTACAAGGCATGTTCTTGTTATTACAGTCTAAAATGTGTATTCTTTTATATTTGGTTTCTCCATGTATTCATAAAATGTTTACCCACTCTACTGGCAAAGGATTTGTTATTTTGAGGTTTTATTATCATTTTTGTAGGCATCCGGCAATTTGTAATTGTGTTAGGGTCTTAGTGGACCTATGCTTGGCCACTCCCAGATATCAATGACAGGGAGCATATCGTTTAGGCAACATGTACTGATTACAATGAGAATTGTGCAGCATGAGTTGGAAATATCCTATTTGAACAAGAAAAAAACCCATAGATTTTTTAACGAAATAAATCAGTGGAAGTTGTAATCAAACAGTCAAGTATTTGTATTTACATACCATAATGGCAGCATAAGAAGGCAGTAGGGGAATTGACTAGTGTAATGCTTGTACATTTGTGACACAATTAAAACTTAAACAACATTTATTATGAGAACACGTTCAGTATAGTGTATTAATATCATCATCAAGGGAGAGTGCCCTTATTATGTGTAAAGGGTGCCCCTTTTCATTTTGGACAGAACTTGTGTTGTTTCTGATATTATTATGGGGTTGTACTAAACACTCGGGTCGCGGCGCGCTGAAAAACACTCGGGTCACGGCTCGTTTGGCCATCTTTTTTTAAGTGTCTTCAAATCGGCTTTTTAATATAAGGGGGAAATCTTATTTCAAATTAGCGACTGTTTTTACACTCGGGTCGCGGCTCGCTGGGCCATTTTTTCAATGATGTCTTCAAAGGGGATGCGTGGGGAAATTTACTTTAAAAACGAAGTTGTAAGTTGTGATTGTTTTTTGTTCAATGATAGACAAATAAGAAGATTATAATTAAGGCTGACATCGGGAAAGACAAATATACTAGGTGGGTAAAGTGGATTTTAGATAAAGTGTAATAGTACATAGGTATATGATCTATTAATATGATAGAAACAAGGAAGAATGGATACAGTGAGAAGATGAATTGTGGGAAATTAAGAACTACCAAGAGAGGAATACAAAAACAAAGAATGAAAGAATGAAATGAATATTTCCATCATTCCTTGTAATATCCTATCAAGTTTTATTCCTCGCTTTATTTTCATATTTGTCAGTCTTTAAAAAATATTCTTTCTAAATTTTATTCTACCCCTTTATTTCTCATCTTTTTTCTATCATGTAAATCTTTATTTCCTCCACTCTTTTCTTTATATCTTTATCACTGTTAAATCTGACCAATGAATTCTTTCAATTCCCTTTTTATTAAATATTTGTTTTCTTTCATTCTTTGTTTATGTAATCCTCTCTTGTTAGTTCTTAATTTCCCACAATTCATCTTCTCACTCTATCCATTATTCCTTGTTTCTATCAAATATACAGTTCATTTCCCTTGTAGTATTACACTTTCTCTAAAATCCACTTTAATCACCTAGTATTTTGTCTTTCCCAATGCCAGCCTTAATTCTAATCTTCTTATTTGTCTATCATTAAAAAAATAATAATCACAACTTCCAACTTCTTTTTTAAGAAAATTTCCCCACGCATCCCCTTTGAAGACATCATTGAATAAATGGCCCAGCGAGCCGCGACCTGAGTGTAAAAACAGTCACTAATTTGAAATAATATTTTCCCCCTTAAAAACCGATTTGAAGACACCATTTTGTTTAAATGGCCAAACGAGCCGCGACCTGAGTGTTTAGTACAAGCCATTAATATGGGATAGTGTAGAGATAGAATTTGTACACTTTTGTTTAATTAGCAATGCAGTAGTTTGTGCAGATTTAGTATAATTGTGGCAAAAAATAGAGGGGGAGTCAATGATCAGTGCCCCCTTTTAAAAGTAAACCGAATGTATGTTTGTTGTGAATTAATAAGAACAGATCTGAATATTATTCTCAGATTTCCCACATACATAAAATATGTCAATTTAGTGTTTAAGCACTAGACTATAGATGATGGTTGTAATGTGAATAATTAGTTGTGATGGGGGTCGGGGACCCAAAACCTTTTTTTTTTTGTAATACCTTTGCAACAAAACAAATAAAAAGGGCTATAATAAAGGGTTGGTTCCAGTATAATCATATAAACCTACAATATTAATATGATTCACCTTACTTCTTGCTGATTCAATTTCATCCCTTGTCCCTTTTTTTGGGGGGGGATTTGTGATGTCAGTGAGTTCTCCTTCATTCTTCATCATTGTTCAAAAGTTGGCTTCTCCAACAAATTTGTATTGCGTCAGATTTGTGTTAAATGTATAGCACACAACTAATGATGATGCTATGATAGGAATGTAAAAAACAGATATGCTGTGTAGCTTTTTTAACCTTAGGTACTGTTAAACTCTACGTAATTATGTTCATCAAACTAATATCTGGAATCTTTTTGTAGTTGTGATGGGGGTCGGGGACCCAAAACCTTTTTTTTTTGTAATACCTTTGCAACAAAACAAATAAAAAGGGCTATAATAAAGGGTTGGTTCCAGTATAATCATATAAACCTACAATATTAATATGATTCACCTTACTTCTTGCTGATTCAATTTCATCCCTGGTCCCTTTTTTTTGGGGGGGGGGGATTTGTGATGTCAGTGAGTTCTCCTTCATTCTTCATCATTGTTCAAAAGTTGGCTTCTCCAACAAATTTGTATTGCGTCAGATTTGTGTTAAATGTATAGCACACAACTAATGATGATGCTATGATAGGAATGTAAAAAACAGATATGCTGTGTAGCTTTTTTAACCTTAGGTACTGTTAAACTCTACGTAATTATGTTCATCAAACTAATATCTGGAATCTTTTACATCCATTTTGCCCCCAAATCAAACTCCATCATGTTAAATGGTATCTTTGGAATGTACTATTGTTACCACTGACAAATATTCATATATAATATTTGAGAAACTTGGAAAAATGGATATTATTAATTTTGTCAGACTGAAAAGGGAATTATCCCTCAAATACTAACGCATTCATATTTATATGTATCACATGATTTTACAACAAAAGAAAATACAATGGTATATAAATCAGGACTTTCTAGCAAACTGTGTGGTGTGCTAGTACTCTACCTAGGGGCTGCTATTTTCTTAGAGAGCATTAGTGACTCTTGACCTTCAGTTTCAGTTTAGTTTCATTTATTTCACACTAAATAATTTCGAAATTACATGTGAAAAAAGGAACTTAATCAAAAGCATATAGCTTGTAGAATTTAAGTTCCTCAAAATAATGTTGACACAGTGTCATTCATTATAAGGTAGAAGTATGATGATACAAAATCAGAGTATACAGATAAAACAATGAAATGATATGGATGATGGATGTAAGAAAGAAGAGAACTAGGAAGGGAAGGTAAAGCATGGGGGTCAGGAGAAGAATGAGGAGAGAGAAAAGGAAGTTTTTAGAATAGAATATTCAAGGTCGGGAGTCACAGTCCAGAAAAAAATAGTATACTTGTGCATTACATGTACAAATTTAATACTAACAATTTGATATGTTTTTTAAAGCTGCAACAGTTCTTAAGCTATTTGAGATTCGGATCAATGGTGCTTCAGTAGTTTGGTCCTGTGTATGAAATAGTTTTTATGGCGAAAACTGCCCTGGTTAGGGAGGATGATAGTTTGTACGTGTTGCCTGTCGTGTTTGGTATGTGTGTAAAGCATCATTTTTTGTAAAGCGTTCAATTATGGCTGATGGGAGTATTGCTAAATAACATTTAATTATTTTTTTTGTTTAATATTCAAGGAGACTTTGTTTGCCTGGATCCAAGAGAGGGCTTTTGGCTTTCTTGCTGTGTGTTTACAGCTGTGGGCTCTTTTTTTCTTCATTTCTAGTTATGAGTTATGTTGTTCAAAGTTGTTACAGATGTTATCTTTTGTTTTCATTAATTGGTTGCTTAATTTCTTGTTATGGTTTGAGGTGGGTTTTGTTTTTAGGTTTTAGAATTCTAGATTTTTTTTTAGAATCCCTGGGGATTTTGCGGTAGTAAACCCCATTTATTTAAGTGGCAGAATTCATTTTATGCCTCAACCTTTCATATCATTCCAAACACACAAATATACTATACATGTGTATAAATTAAGGATGGCCGGCCAAGAATGAACAGTAATATGATCTGTTATTTTAACAAGACCTCAAAGAAATCATGAAATATGCGTAGGCTGAGTTGATCAATTCTTCAAGTAAATGATATCAATATCATCTATTTTGCCTTCGTTTGTATTCTAACCTCATTTTCTGTGGCAATGTCAACTTCACAATATTGCACCATTCTTTTACCCAGGTGATGTTAGAAATAATTCTTTATTCGTAATCCCAATTATAAGACATTTTTCTACTACATGCATGTTTAATCTGTAGATTTTTGCAAATGTGGTGCAATGCCTGTGGTTCAATTGTATTGATTGGTACTAATGCCCTTTTTATGTACACGTTCGGACTTAACTCCTAATTGCATATCATCGCTGGACGTGTTTAACTTGTCTCTTGTAAATTTCATGATTTGCATGTGCCTTTGAAGACTGTCAAATAATTGTATCGAAATAAAGTATATTTTACAGAAATTCAAAGAAGATAAACTATTGTTTATTACAATTGGCATTTATTTGATTCTATCTCGTCTTTTTCCTCTGTAGTACAATACACCTGCTGGTGTATGAGATATTTATAGAAATAACATGATAATTTTGTGATTTTTGTTTTCCCTCTTTAACATAAGTCATATTTTAAAATTAAGAAAGAAAATGATTTGCTAGATAATACTGCATAGTTTTAAAACTGTAATTATATCCAATTTTATAGTGGCAAGTATGTATATGTTTGCAGGAGGTGTGTTAAAGAATTTAATAGAATTCGAGGATGAAAGGAAAGAAAATATTCAGGGAAAGTGGTTTGATACCACATTGATCGAGGAATTGTTAAAACATGTTGAAAAAGATGACAGTTTCGTCCTTAAATTGAATGAAGATATAGTTAGAGAGAGAGAAAGAGAGGAGCACAGGAGAAAGTTTTGCAAACTTTTTGTGTGGTGGTGTCATTAAGTTCCGTTGGTACGTACAGTGGAATTATTAAAGTTAATTTCCTTCATTATATCTTTCCCAGCTTATCTATTAATAATTTCAACGTGTGCAAGCACTGTAACATCATTTGCGATATAGTGATTCCTTACAGTTAAAATAATGAAGACATATCAGTACGCAATATAGTACAAACAAGCTCAATCTTTATTTTGTATATGTGTCTTCTTTCTTCAAAAGACATAAACGTTATTCACAAAACATAACATTTTCACAAGTCGATACGTCAAAATGCAAACATGTATAAGAAAAGAATAAATGTTACAAACATATTTTGATGATAGTAAGAGAACAAAAAGGAATCTCATACCAAGAAGCAATGATATTAATCCAAACTCTATACCACTAGTGATAACGATTAATTTAAAAACATTTACAAATATGAATTGTATTCTTTCCTTGAATTGCCGAAATCTTCCCCCTCCCCCCGAAAACAAAAATAAAGAAATATAAATATCCTTATGATAGAATAATGGTTTTTATATACATGGGGGGGGGGGCTAGAAAGAACGGAACACCTGCGATCTACAATTACAACTTCATCATTGACCTAATTCTTACTTCATTAAGAAGATCATTCTTTTTCGAAATGATAAAAAATGATGTAAAGATCATCAACTTTGAGTCATTATGTCATTGTAATTGGAAATATCCGGTTTTCTTTCTTTCTGAGCCACACAATATAGTGTGACAGTTCATGGGCAATCCCTTTAAATTACCTTGATCTCTTGACACTGATAAAAGCTAAGCCAACATTTTTATTGAACCTGAGTAAGTGGAACTGATGTTGGGATTCCTAGGATTACATTTGTAATGGCTTCCATCAGGGGCGGATCCACGTAGCGATTTTTCCGGCCCGGCCCCCCCCCCCCCAGCCCCCCAAAACGATTAAAAAAAATAGGATAATAACGTAAAGTTAACCTTTATAAAACAAAAAACAAAAGCGCCCCATCCCCCCCCCCCCGCTTATTCGCCGGCCGGCTGAGACGGCACTAAATTTTGTATTAAGATTTGGCTACCCCCCCCCCCCCCATTGGCGCCGGCTGGATCCTCTGCAGGCGTGGATCCACGGGGGGGGGGGGGTGACGGGTCAACAACAACAAAATCTCACGAATTAGGTCACACACAAAAAATAGTGGTCTCATATTCACCGGCTGACTAAGTCGGCGCAAAATATTTCCTGAAAAATTGCACCCCCCAAAAATGCTTCCTACCCCCCCCCCCCCCCCCCCCCCCCCTTATTCACCGACGGCTGAGTCGCAACTAATATTTTCTCACGGATTGGGCCCCCCCCCCCCCCCCTCTTCCCGCCGGCTGGATCCGCCACTGGCTTCCATACAGTAAATCAAGATCATATTTATCAAGACTTTTTACATGATACACAATGGTCAACTGTTGACCATAACTCTTGTTTCTAAGATTGATATTATATTGTGGAAATTAAGATTTGAAAGACAGTATTGCCTTCATTGTTTTAAATACAAGCAAACATAATAATATCCTTTTTTGCATGAGTTAGTTCGAAGTTTACAAGGAAAAGATAAAAATCGACAAACTCCACGTTTGCTAGGTCTTATGCCTACTTCCCCGATTGACAATGACTAGATGCAGACACCGCACTTTCATAGCTCAAATTCAGACGAATCATGTGTAAGAAGAAGTAAACGTTTTTTAGTATCTTTTGACATTTGAATGGGCTTATTGTGATTTTCTTTCCTCAAATTTGATAAAATATTGCTTATAAAGCCTATATTTATTACCTCCACAGTTTCATGGTGTTTTGCCTACCTCCCCGATTGAAGGCGTTTACATGTATGTGTGTGTGTGTGCGTGTGCGTGCGTAAATGTGCGTGGGAGAGAGGGTGTGTTTAAAGCTAGATAGAAGAGGGAAGGAGAGAGAGAGAGACACACACACACACACACACACACATCATAGACAGACCGAGGTAGGGAGAGATATAGCGAGAGAGAAAGAGAGAAAGAGAGAGGGTATGTTATAAGGGGTGGGGGAAGAAGTAGTGAAAGAGTAGAAGAGAGAGTAGGATTTGTATTAATGACC